TGAGAACTGGCGACTTTGTAGTACAACTTTAGTACGCGGAGTATCTGGGGAGCTGGAAGATGAGAACTGGCGACTTTGTAGTACAACTTTCTGTGGAGCTGGAAGCTGAGAACTGGCGACTTTGTAGTGCAACTTTAGTGCGCGGAGTATCTGGGTGGGGAGCTGGAAGATGAGAACTGGCGACTTTGTAGTACAACTTTAGTACGCGGAGTATCTGGGCAGCTGGAAGATGAGAACTGGCGACTTTGTAGTACAACTTTAGTACGCGGATGAGTCATCTCTCGCGGCTGAGTCATCTCTCGCAGCTGCTCTGACGCCCCTGCAGCTGAGTCATGTCTCCCAACCACCCGGCTCTCTTGAGAGGTTGACGCACACACAGACACCCACGCACTGCCTCAACTTACTCGGAGACGCACACACAGACAGAGACTCATACACACACAGACATAGATACACACACACAGAGACCCACACACTGCCTTAACTCACTCGACTTAACACTTCACACTGAACACTTACCAGATAACTCACACTCTGACTTCCTACGTGATGAAAAATGCTTTCGGGCCACTCGTCGTCTAGTTTCTAAGTCACATAGCTCGCAAGCCAGCATGCCAATGGCAACAGGGCTCCGACTCCGACAAAATGTTCTTTATACTTTTGTGGCATGTCATTGTCATTCCGAGCATAGTAGCCGTTCTAGCTCCATTATTTTTTGCGCATTTGGCTTGCGAAAAATGTCCGTTTTGTGGCGCCTCCAACGCAGCAAACCGCTGCTGCAGATGCACAGATTGCGGAGACCTTCCGTGCCACAAAGCGATGCGACATCGAACCTGCTCGGCCCTTTGCTGTCTCCAACTGGTGGGTAAACGGCCGCTGGTCTCCATAAAGGACATTCCTTTCACATGAGTGACTTCTTGACAGAACATGAGCTGGCAAGTCATCAAAGGTGGAGACAGGAAGGTGAGCGCTTGCTGACAGCAGTGGCAGTGGAGCAAGATGGAGAAAGTACACAAGCGGCGGCTCATGTCCGTGAAAAAGCTGCGAAAGGTGGTGGCTAAACTCCTGTGATTCTGCTGGATTTTGCTGCCATGTTGAGGAAGAAAACATGTGTGCGTGGGAACCTTTGCCATTGAATGCAGTTTTCATTTGGCATCATCAGAATGCCTCGTGGAACTCGAATCCCTTGTCCAATCGACCCAGCAAAGCTGACAAAGAGTCTTTGTCCGCAACCAGCCTATCCCACCTTTCAGCTGGTTGCGGAGCCTGGTCCTCGTCTCCAACCGGAGGCTTTCATGCAGTTTGAGCAAAAGGTGAAGCCCTGAGGATAAGTTTTGCACATGATGAAACCCCACAGGAAAGATGGTACCAAGGCTGAACCTTGAAGATAGTTCATGCCAACAAACTCACTTGTTCCTTTGTTCCTTGTGCCTGGGTAGAGGGCCTGCTTGTACCTCTAGCCTTTGCCACACTAAACTTGGATGTGCACAAAAGCAGTGCGCCTGCGACAAAATCTGCAGGCCAAGGCAACCAAAACGAGTGTCTCCATTTTCCCTTTGCCCCAAATTTCTCCTAACTGAGACCAAATCCTCCATAAAGAGATTCTCCAATCGTGTCGGCGCTCAACGGTCGTCGTTTAGGAGCGGCTCACAGAGCAGCAGAGAGAACGCATTGTACATGACGCTGAAAAGTTGATCGACCCTCGAAAGAACTTGACGAGCGTACTACTAGGAACAAGGGCATCGCTACTAGTAACAAGTGCCTTACTACTAGTAACAAGAAGCTAGTAGAAACAATAAGTAAATAGAATTTAATTAGAATTAGTACTTAGTGTTTGGTGCTTTGTGGCTTTGAAAAGAACCTCGCCCAGGAAAATCCTCGGGCCTACAACGTTCTTTGTGCCAACTGTGAGCATACCACGAACTTGGTTCCAGCCTTGGCTGTTATCATGCTGCGAAGACCCACAAGCGCTTGCAAGTAGCCTGACAGGTCTCTGGAAAACAGCAGTTTACGTCGCCAGAAGTTCACTTTTTCATTTGGAGCCTGAGCTGCAGCTGTACGGCACTGTGTATTTCCACGAGAAACAACGCAAGGAGCATCTGCCGATATCTTCTCACGATCATTGGGCTTGCAACACTTCATGCCAGCTGCCTGGGATGTGGCACTTTCATGACAGCACAGCATGGCTCACAGATTTCAAATCTAAGCATGAAGGGCGCTATTCTGGGCTGAGCAACCCGCGAGAGAAGTTAAGGTTGTGACAATGCAATGCTACAGCCGGTATTGCTTGCAATATCCGTTATGGGCCCGAGCCATAGCAGACAAGCGGCAACTGCACATGTTTGTTCACAGTATTTCCAGGCTTTGGCTGCGTATTATCTTTGTACAGTTTCAGCCTCAGACCGGTAGGACACTTTGCATCACGCGGCATGTTTCCTTTACTCTTCCATTGGTGCAAGAAGCTTTTCGAAGTATGTATATGTGTTTCTTGACCTGTATGTGTGTTTCTTTCTACTTTTGTGTTTGCTTTTTGTTCTCGTTTCTCGTTCTAGAATTGCTCGTCTCTCTTTGCCTCTCTCCCCAGCCCAGGCTTTGCCAGTCCTTGCCCAGATCATTGTGCAATATGGTCGCCTCGCGTTGGGAACCGAGCGAAAAGGCGTCCAGCGCCTTACACTGCAAGGCTTCGTGAAAAGAACTTGAAAAATACAATTGGAATAACAAATAGTTGTATAACTAATTGGCAAATTATTCCAAGGCAATTCACAAGTTAAGTTGGAGCAACTTAGTCCGCTTGAGGAACACGGTCTACCACGGGTGGCGAAAAAGTTTGATCTCCAGAAATGATGTCTACCACCTCTTGGTCAAGGATCGTGAGATGCCGTTTTTGCTTTTTCTTTTCGTTGTGTTTTTCCTGGTTGTGTTGTTTGTAGAGTGAATAGGTTTCAACCATTACAAAATCACGTTTCGTTTCACCTCCTCACAGTTGGGTTGCATTGATCCTCAGGAGCTTTGCCGAGCCATTTTCAACGGAGCGCTTGCTTTCGGGTTTCTTTTGCACGGGCTTCAGATAGTGTGTGGGTGATTTGGATTTGTGATCTTTAGCTGAGGGTTGAGAGAAGTCTTGGTAGCTTCTTGTTCCTAGTAGCGATGGCTTCCAACCTACTTGCGATGGCTAATATTATGTCGGGCACGCCAGCCATAGATACAAGGAGCCAAAATAGTTTTATAAAGCAAAAACAAAGCAAAAAAAAGCAAAAGGCAAAGCAAACAAAAACGCAAAAAAATGTAGCTGTGCGTATTTGTCGCTTTTTTTTCACCGTTTTTTCGCTTTATGTTCGCTTTTTTTTGCTTTTTTTTTTCGCTTTTTTTTCGCTTTTTTCCTAGGAGGGTACAGCAAAAACATATTTGTCGCTTTTTTTCACTTTTTTTTCGCTTTATTTTCGCTTTATTTTCGCTTTATTTTCGCTTTTTTTTTCACTTTTTTTTCGCTTTTTGTTTTGCTTTGTTTTGCTTTTTGCTTTGTTTTTGCTTTGTTTTTGCATTTTCATTTGCTTTTATTTTGCTTTTTTTTCACTTTTTTTTTCACAAAAAAATTATTTGATGGTTGGCCATGTATGGCTGCCATCGCCCAACATAAGGCTAATAGCGTCCTTGCTACTGAGTGTTTCAGTTCGTCAGTTAGGCAATGTTGTAAAGTCTGTGGCCTTGAGGTGGGCTCCCGACATGTTGCAATTTGCGAACCAAAGGCCAGGGTGCCACAGCAAAATTTCGGATACGACGCACATGGTGAACATGGTGACTGACCAAGCTGCACCGTTTGAACCGATAACTGCTGGCTCCGCGTGAGCAACAAATGTAACAGGAAGACAAGGAACGCTCTGGGAAGCTTAGAGGGGAATGCCAGGGGATTCTGGGGCGCTCAAGTTCACGGCGATTTTTCGATTGCTGGTCTTACAGGTATCCTGTGCGCATCTCCATCGCCATTGTGTTTGCTTACTTTGCCTGGAGCTTGAAAAGAAGGCCATTGAAAGAGAACGCAGGCGAAACGATGGAGGTTTCAGAAGTCGATAAGTGGTTTGCCAAACCGAAAGACCAGAAAGCGATCAAGTGAGGCCAGCGACGCGCTCTTCGCACTCTTAGCGCAGGCAGGAAAAGACGAACCGTTTTCATGTCTCTTTCAAAATCGCTGTGTTTTGGCAAGTGTCCTTTGCTTCGCAGGTCGTGACACGGATCCTGCTTCACAAGTTTGGCAGGTTTTGGCTCATTGGTGGAAGTGACCACACGCCAGTCACTAAGAGAGTGACGACAGCGACTCAAAGAGACGGAGCAAGCAAGCAGGGCATGAAAAACAAATCAATATCGGAAGGAAGGCAGGTAGGCAAGGAGTGAGGGAGGGATGGAGGTAAGGAGGGAGGCAAGGAAGGCAAAGAAAGCAAGGCGGAAGAGGGGGAGACAGGCAAGGAATGTTCGAAGGAATGAAGGAAGGAAGTCTGCTTCGCCGTTGGTGCTATTTGTATCCTTGTGACGTTGGATTGAAAAGGTCCTTGTGTTAAAACACGGTTCAAAAGAACCTGAGCAGCACTCCAATGTATCATACCTTTTTGTGAGCCGCCCGAGGGTAAAATATGTAAGGCAGCAAGGAACCATTCCAATGTAGCATACCTTTTGTGAGCCACCCCTGCCCATGGCCCGCATACTGGAACATTCAAGATCCATAAGCCCAACAAAAGCGATACGGGCATGGCCCACCTTCACCTGTTTGTTTTGCCCTGCCATTATATCACAATGCCACCCAGGTGGCGGAGATTGCCAACTATCAGTTGCTTTCTTCGCTGCGTGACAACGCCATGTGAACCACCTTGACCTGCTTGCTGAACTATTTCACTGCTTTGCTTAGCTGGTTTCTCTGCTTTGCTTTGGCTCGCCTTGCCGTAGCAAGGCCATGAAGATGGATGACATGTTCATGCCACACACAGGTGGAAGACATACTCCACCTTGTACACCGCACAGGTGGATGGCGGACTATAAATACCCCAGGCTCACCTGCTGGAGGTGCCTGCCACAAAGGCATGGGGCCCGCTTGTGCACGCGGAAAACGCATGGCTTGAAGACTAGGATTACGTGGTTGCCATGACCACGTGGCAAAGCTGTGAGCCACCCGCCAATAAATTTGGAGCAGGAAGGACCTACTTCAATGCGGCAAACATTTTGTGATCCACCGTTTGTGAGCCACCGGATTGCAAAATGGAGAGGAAGAAGGGGATATTCCCACTGCAGCAGACATCATGTGAGTCACGCGAAGCTAAAATTTAGAGCAAGCAGTAGCATACCGTTTGTGAGCCTTGCAAGGATAGTGTTAGAAGGGCAAGGTGCCCAATCTAGCGGGCGAAGTGTCAGTGAAATGCAACAGTCCTTCTGTGAGGCACCCTGCAGCTACTTTATTTCGTGTTTGATCACCATAACAATGTTTTAATAATCCCTCGGTATAAAAACAACATTTTTGGGACCCCCTGGCCAGCAAGCAGAGCAATGCCATGCCTTTCTTTTCGTCCACGCCGAAGCGGGGCGACCGTGTCGAGGTGGGAAGAGGAGCAACGACTTGCCGATGCGACGCCGAAAGAGAAGGATGAGTAGGACGACAAGTGTGACCTCCCTTTTGTTGATCTGAACAACGTGGCAACTTATAGTTCATGGATGTAGCTAGTAGATGCTAGTAGTTCTTCGATCAAAACACAAATATAAAGAAAACATCAACTCAAAATCATCATGTTGGAGGTCCCATCATTTACCTTTGCCACTTTGTGGCCAGCGGTTCGACAATGTCGACGACTAGGTTCAGCGAGAAAAGATTCGAAAAATGTGCAGAATAGGAACTTGGCACAACTTGGCTAATAATGTGCTCATGACTCAAGTTGTGATTTTGGGATTCTGTAACAGTTGAGCGCTATTGCTTTCATGCTCGGGTGGCACTTTTGTAGCGGCAGCCATGGGACCCTCGCTGAAGGTGCGGGACCGTCCTTGTGTCTTGCTAAGCTGCTAAGCCAGACAAGAAGGTCTAGTGCCTTTGAGTTCGAGGCGAAAAGTCCCACAGTTCTCCGGCTTGCACGTTTCTCAGCGAGGTAAATCTGACCTTTGTGAGAAACCTTGTGACATAATATTGTGTTTGTGTTTTTCCTTGGGTTGCTCCAAGACCCAGAGCATCGACAAGGGGTATGAGTTCATCGGAGTCTGAGGTGCCAAAATTGGAGAAAGTATGAAAGCTAATTTGGATCCTTTGTTTCCCAATGTGTCTCAATGAATAGGTTTTTGTAAGCTGAAAGTTACGAGCTTGAGTCGTGGAAGACAGGCTGAAGTGAGGACAGTGAGGACAGTGAGGAGAATTTCACGGATAAGTTTGGACTCAGAGGACTCTGAAGAGGAAATACAAAGAGAGAAGACGAGACCCCAGCAAGAAGAAAAGAAAGGAGAAGACGTCTTGACGGTCACAAGGAACGTCACAAGCGTCAGAAACGACAGTCAGACAGGAAACAAGGACGAGGAACACGAAGAGAGTAAAGAGAGAAACCGAAGAAGCTAAGACTTTCAAGAAGCGAGCAAAGCCCAAGGAGAAGATGCAGGAGAGCCTGCAGATAAGGAAGACTGGGAAGACTTGAATGGAAGCGGTGAGAAAGATAGAACTGAAAAGGATGAAAAGAGGGAGGAAGTTGAGAATGAAAGAGCAAGAATAAAAGGAAAAAAGGGAGACTGGGAATCTGAAGAGAAAATGGAGAAGATGTTCAAGAACGAGAGAAGAACAAAGGCGAGAAGAAAGAAGAGCAAAAGAAGAAAACAAAGACGAGAAAGAGAAAGATCCGAAAGAGAACGAAAGAAAAGAGGTGAGGCACACAGAGGGCGAGGTGCTGCTGGCGGTGCCAAGGATGCCTTTTGGTCCTGTTGGAGGTTGTTTGGATTTGTCCCGGTTTTGTTTGCCTTCTCTGTTGCTTTTTTTGCTTGTGTCTTTTAGATACTGTATGTTGCTTTTTGTTGTTTAATTTAGCCAGTATTGTTTAATTCTTCATAATTGTTCTACCCTTCGACCTTTCTCTGTTTATTTTTTCTTTGTCTTCCGGCCTGGTCTCTAGACCTTTAATTGTTTCTTAATTGGTTCTGTTCCTTATGTGTTTTCTTTGGAGTTCTTTAGACCTTTTAGATGCTTCCTTTTTTGTTTTTACACCTGTAGAACCTGCAGACCCTTCTTTTAGCCGTTTTTTCTTCTTTTTGAGTCTGATTCTTTAGGCGGATTGTTCTTTCCTCTCTGCACGTTTTTGTTTTTCAGGCCGCTGAGAGGAGGTGAAGGTTGGCCTTTTTCGGGGCAGGGGCCTGGTTCGTTGTCTTGGCCTTTTTCTCAAGGCCTTTAGACTCTTGTTCTCCTTCCCGCCTTCTCCCATCCTCTTTCTCTCATCAACTCCTTCCTTCCTCCGCTTCGTCATCCATTTCAATCAAATCAACACCTAGACTTAATCAACTCAACCAATAACTCAATCAACTCAACTCGACTTGCCTCATCATCTCAACACTACCACTTACCTCATTGTCCAACTCAACCAACTCCGCTCTCAGCGTGTGTTTGTCTGTGCCTGCGGCTGCGTAGAGGGGACGTCAACCCAACTCATAGTAGCGATGCACTTGTTTCAACTTCGCCTACTTGACTTTCCTTCTGTACCCCCTTCTTTCTGGCCGTTTCCCATCTCTTCCTTCGTCTCTACCAGGCATGAAATCTTTCAACTGGCATTTCTTTATTTGTCCGCTTCTTTCGTCTTTTCTGGAAGGCTTGACATGTTTGGTTATCCGGTCCCTTTCCGGAACTTTCTTTTCGCTTTGTCTTCTTTGCTGCGCTTTTCCCTTGGACCTGTAGACCTTCTTTGTGTTCTTTCTTTCTTTGGCATCTCTTTTTGTTTCCATTCGGTCCGTTCCTTTTTTTGGTAGAACCTTTGGGCCGTTTTCTTCTTACAATTGTTAGACCTACCTTTAGGCCATTTTAGACCTGTAGACCTTCCGGCAAGGCATGTCTTCTTGCATCCTTTCTTGTCAACTTGGTACCTTCTTCTTTTGGCCTTTTTGACCTTTCTTGTAGTAACAAGTGCATCGCTACTAGTAACAAGTGCCTTACCACCTTTAGCCTAAAGACCTGACCTGTTTTGTCCTTTCCTTCCTTTTATTTTCCTTGCATTCACCTGTCCTCTCTTGCGTTGTCAAGCTTCAGGACTGAAGAAAAGCCAGCCCGAAGCCTTCCACAAGGCAGCAGTGCCAAGAGGAGTGGCTGGCGCTTCAAAGAGAAGGGAAGCGCGGACGAGAAGAGTGAAGAGAGAAGAGATAAGACGAAGGTAACACGACAAGACAAAAGCCCGTTACGCCTGCTGCTCAGTAAAGCCGAAGGCAACGCTACCACCATACCAGTGAGTTAAGTGACAAGTGAGCTTTGACCACTTGCTTTTGTGTTTATTCTGTTTCGAAAATTCTAGAAAGCACTGTTCCTCTAAGAATTGCACACCAGCAAGCAGATAGCCTGCGATGAGGTTCAAACCTTCCAACAATGAAAGGCAACAAATGCCCTGCTTATGGCCCTTTTACCCTGCACATGATGCAGCCCTTTTACTGCTGGTTCATGGCCTTGCTAGTGGAGCACCTCACATACCAGCAGTTACTAGCAGTCACGCAGCCAGTTGAAACCCTTTGGATCGCGCCTTCACAGGTACCGTCCGCATGCATTCACTTTCGATTAGAGCCGTTTGCGCAGACTTTTGCCGATGTTTGTCCCAACAACCACCAGTGGTTACCACTGGTAGCCTACCCTAGTAGTCTACTAGGACTTTGCTCGTGTTGCAGACAACAACTGAAGGCTTTACGTCCACCTACATGCCGAGATTCTGTTGCTTTTCTATGCTTTTCTATGAAGCAGTCTTGGGCCTCATCCCCTTTATGACCCTTGAAACTAGCAATAAGAATATGTTTAGAAGGTGTTTTAAGCAGTGTTCTTTCGGTCGTTGTTTCGTTTTGATTTGTTCGAGTGGTTCTTTTGGACAGAACTCGCGAACGAAATCCCGAGGCCCAAAGCCGTGGACTAGTCAGGCCATTCGAGCGCATAGCGGGAGTGGGAAGAACATGGAAGAACCGAAAGAAACACAAAGGAGAGGCTAGTAGTAACAAGTGCCACGCTAGTAGTAACAGGTGCCTTACTAGCAGTAACAAAGAAGCTATTAGTAATTTGAACAAAATGAAAAAATTGGCCGACTCCTTTGCCCCTTCCCTACTTAAGTAGGTGGCTACTTAATTGAGGGCGAGGGCGAACGCTACTAGCTACTGGACGCAGAATAGCTCACGCACTATTCATTTGGTTCCTACGATTTCTTTGGGGGGCGTAACTTACAGAATCAGTTCAGTGCTGTGTCCTTTTTCTCCTTCCTTTCTTTTTGTTTAGACCTTTGTTCGGTGTTCCTTCCTCGGTGAGGCCCGCAGACAGTTTCTTGGCGAAAGAGCATCGCCGATGGCGCTTTGATCCTGTTTAACAAAAATCAACGTGGCTTCAGGGACCTGGACCCTCATCTCAAACCAAGGTCTGAAGGGGAAGCTGAGATTTCAGTGTCTCGGCAGACTAGACAACAAACCAAGCAAGACCACCGGACGCGCTTATCAAATCATGATGTGTGTGGTAAAGTGGATACGCATTAACAAGATTTGTTGCCGACGGGAAGACTTGGTGCGCGTGCGCATACATGCGCCGCATCAACAATAGACAATTCGGTGAGGTTTTTGAACGACTCCACAGCAGCGCCAAAAGAAAGGTGGGAATCTGAAACGATCACAGTTTGGAGTTGGAGGCCATCGCTCGTAGGTTGGAGGCCAGTGCTTCTAGGTTGGAGGCCATTCCAATTAGGCTGGAGGCCATGGCCATTGCTATTAGGTTGGAGAACGAGACGTCACACTTGACTTGGGTCCTCAGGTCGCCCTGAGCCCTGCCAAAGAAATGAGAGCGAAGGACTCTGAAGTCAAGGCCCGGAGGACTATGGAGGACTCAGGGGTCCATTGGTTCTTCACCCCCTTCTGGAGCCACTTCGTGACTGCATTTGTGCGGAGATTCTGTTGTGAGGTCTTCATGCGGTTGTATGAAGACGCGTTGATGAAGAGAGAGGCACGCGGCACACTGCACAAGAAGACATTGTCATCTTGAAGTCTTCAGGAGATGGCCAAGAGGAGAGAAGCGAAGGAGCAAAAAGAGATCACCGATATGGAGCGCCAATTGCAAACCAAACAGGCGGACACCGGTGGACGCAACCCATTAAGCGTCCGAAAGGGTCATTAAATTAATAGGAGGACATAGAAGGGCTAAGGAGGGCTATAGTCTTTGCGTGGTTACCTGAAAAGACGCTGTTGCCCTGAGAATCCCATGGAATCTCGTCAATTTTCCTTCCCATTTTCCCTCCACAGTAGAGGTTTGGAGAAGGATGTGTATTGTAATGATGTTTTCATACTGTGTTCTTTTAGATTGTGCTTTGGTTGCTTTTCTGCTTTTGCTGTGTTTTTGCTTTTGCATTTTTACAAGACGCATAAAAGCCAAAATTTAGTTTGTGAGCCACCCGAGGGTAACATTTAGAGGA